AAGTCATTATCACAAAAGGTTTTAAAGGAAGGAAAGGTACCTGCAGATTGAAGAAAGGCTGGTTACATCGTCGAGCTTCCGGGGAAGAGCGACTTACGCCTTTGCAAGAACTGGCACAGAATCACCAGGTAAAGTACTAATTCGCATCATCCTGGAGGGAATGAAAGATGTACTGGATACGGAACTCCGCCGAGAACAGGCTGAATTCAGGAGGGTCAAATCATGCCCTGATCAGATACACACTATTCATATCATTATCGAGCGGAGCACAGAATGGAGGACAAACCTGTATCTTAACTTGATCCACTTCGAAAAGGCTGTAGCGGTAAATAATTCCCCAAAATTATTAACCACAGCAATCATCACTCAACATTGGATGCTGACCATCACTGTTTAAGTCGACTTGTTTAGCTGAAGGCTTACGGTCAAGCATCCCCGCCATTTGGTGCTCCGTCGCGAACATCGAATACCCGCAGTCTCTAAACTGGTCAGCCCGTAAACTGGTGAGCCCAACCACGAACTACAGCCACCTAAACTGGTGAGCCCGACCACGAACTACATTTTCAATTCACACGCAGATAAACCCGGTGAGTTCGTTCCTTTTTGTGTTTATTCTTGTACTATATTGTTATCGGCATACTTTTCGTCATGAGTGATCCTAGCCCCAAGGTTATTCAGATTCGCTCAGCCGCCAAAACAATCCAGCTAGTACCATATTGGCCCGATAATGCTGAAACGTGGTTTCAGATTGCTGAGTCTGATTTTTGTGAACATGGCATAACTGATCAACGTTCACAGTTCCTTGCAGTTATTCACGCTCTACCGCGGGAATTCAGTAGGTGCGTAACTCTGCAGATGTCGGTAAGTAACTCGTACGAGTTGCTAAAAGCATCCATACTCAAGAGAAACGTTCTCACAGATCGACAACGTCTGGATGAGTTATTTCGTAACATCGAGTTAGGAGATAAGTCAGCCGTGAGCATGCTGGCAAGAATGAAAGAGATCATTGGCCAAAGTCAGTTCGATGAAGGACTGTTTAGAGAACTATTTTTATCCAAACTGCCACAGTCAGTTCAGACTGCACTTGTGACAATTCAGGGTGTTCTCATAGATGATTTAGCTGTCTCTGCAGATAGAATTCTAGAGATAACGAAACGGCCAGTTACCGAAGTATACTCTGTTACCGAACAGACTTCGAGAAAGGATTCTGCAATGATAGAGTTAATCAACTCCGTCCAGCAGATGCTTAGGTCAAACAAGCCTAGCAATTCCTCCCATCGTCGTTCTAAATCCCCTCAACGGCTAAGCGCACGTGGACGATCTAAGTCCAACACACGTTCTCTCAAAAATCCTGACTGGTGTTGGTATCACAACACCTATGGCAAGGAAGCGAAATGTTGTCGAAAACCTTGTGATTTCGGCAAAGCCTCCAAGTCTGTGGGAAACTATCCCGCCGGCACGCGTTAGCGGCAACCGTCGCCGGTGGCACTAGCCGCTTACTTTACATCCATGATGTAATTAGCCAGACTAGATATCTAGTCGACACAGGCGCCGAAGTCAGCGTCCTTCCTGCTACAGCAGCAGATCGACAGAAGGATCCTAACTTCAACCTACAGGCTGCAAATGGAAAACCAATTGCAACCTATGGTCGGAAATACGTCTATCTGAACGTAGGTTTACGCAAACCTATTCAGTGGATTTTCCTAATCGCTGACGTCACAATGCCCATCATCGGCACGGACCTACTTAATCATCATGATTTGCTCGTAGACGTCCGCCGTAAACGACTAATTGACAACACTACTAGTTTGTCTATCAAAGGCATAACTTACGTAGGCCCCAGCTTGTCAATCGTTAAGATGAAAGCAATCCCCGATCCAACTTTTCAACCGATTGTTGACAAATATCCGGAACTCAATTGCCCATCTAACGATCTCCCGTGTATAACCAGCAATGTTATGCACCACATCATAACCTGAGGACAGCCCGTGACATCTAAAGCACGACGACTGGCCCCTGAAAAACTGAGAATTGCTAGAAATGAATTCGATCATATGCTCACCCTTGGCATCATTCGGCCATCGAATAGTCCATGGGCATCCCCGTTGCATATGGTACCGAAAAAGGATAGCAACGATTGGCGACCCACTGGTGATTACCGGCGAGTGAACGCCAAAACAACCCCTGATTGCTACCCTTTGCCTCACATACACGACTTGACGGCAACGTTATCTGGAGCATCTATATTTTCCAAAATCGACTTGGTTAAAGCATATAACCAAATCCCCATGGCAACGGAAGATATTCCGAAAACGGCTATCATCACGCCTTTCGGACTTTTCGAATTTCTACGTATGCCATTCGGCCTCCGGAATGCGGCCCAAACATTCCAACGCTTCATCAACGAAGTATTTCGCGGTCTCGACTTTGTATATGCATACTTAGACGACTGCCTCATTGCCAGTCCAGATAAGGAAACTCACCTTAGACACTTGGACTTGGCATTTGAAAGGTTACGCCAACATGGTGTTACCATCAATATACAGAAGTGTCAAATAGGCGTGGACTCACTCGATTTTCTGGGTCACACTATTGACTGTCAGGGCATTCGCCCACTGGCTACTTCGGTCGATCACTCTAAGAAAACGCGTTCTGGACGTCACGTTAGATTCCCAGAATACCTTCACACCTATTTCACATAACTGAGTGACACATCAATTTTTTTTATGTTGCGCCATTTAACACAAGTAAATGATATTTTTCCTATAACCGTACATTAAATTGAATTAGATGTATATTTTTTTCCCGATATTTTGCACTTTACATTATTTTACTGTATAGTAGATGCATGTCATATTTTTTTGGTAAAAAAACGCTTATTTGGCACATTTTTCTTGACAAGGTTCTCAGCATTCTTGTTTTCTTTTCCAGGTGCAACGGGCACTGGACAGGAAACAAACGAAGCACGGGATCCAACGAACAACACCGAGGAAGCTATGTACAGACACCCTATTAGCATAGGCAGACAGACCAGCAGGCTCTCCATCAAGCCGCTCGGAAGATTTTTTTTTCACCCATCAGGGAACCATCGAGATTTTTTTACTTCCGGCTGGTCATGTCTTAGGGTCCTCACAAACCCACTAGGGGGGAGTGAGCTGTAGCGGTAAATAATTCCCCAAAATTATTAACCACAGCAATCATCACTCAACATTGGATGCTGACCATCACTGTTTAAGTCGACTTGTTTAGCTGAAGGCTTACGGTCAAGCATCCCCGCCATTTGGTGCTCCGTCGTGTCACGTGCGTGCACGATTACTAGCTAGCTAAGCATTCACCTCTACCCGCGATTTTGTCCCGAAATATAATACGTACTTTGGACGACAAAATCTGGTCTTTTGCTTTACCATTTGGTACTCGAAGAACGAACACTATAGTGGTTGTTGGTATAAGATCTTGCGTTAGTATAATCGCGAACGTTCGATACCGTCAATCTCTAAAAGGCCTTCGACAGACTGTGTTGACCAAAAAGTAATTTGGAAAATGCTTCAACGCTGTACACTGAGTCAAATCTTTATTAACCTCATTCAACAGCTATATGACAACGACAAGTGTAAGGTGATACACAACAGAATATCCAAAGAAGACTTTGAAGTGAATACATGATTAAGACAGGCTGACTCGTATCATCACAGACGACGTTCTTAATTGTGGTGGACTGGACTATGCGTTAGACTGTGCAATGAGAGTGAGAAGGCAGGAATACGTTGCGCAGACCTACAAGAAAACTCTATAAGATCTGGATTCCGCTTACGCTTAATATCAAATTACCACGAAGACTTGAAGGTGAAAACTGAAAAACTGACAGAAGACGCGAGCAGCGAAGAGAAGACTCCAGATGAACATAGGGAAGACAGAGGTAATGAAGATAATCAATAACAACAAAAACCAGCACCAATCACCATCGAAGGGAGCTATTTGAAGGAGGTTAACTACCTCACTTGCATAGGAAGCATCGTTTCAACTACAGGCGGGACAGATGGTGTCAAAGCCGGACAATACTGAAAAGGCAAGATACTGCTTCACCAACCTGAAACCGGTTCGGAAATCTTCTGCACGCAGTCAGCATTAACAAGATTCGGATTTTCAATGCAAATGTGAAGTCAGCCACTTCTTCTACATGGATCAGAAATTTGCACTGCTTATCACGAAAAGGATTTCCCACAGGTCACAGACTATATCAACAGCTGCCTCTGCTGGCCCCATAATGAAGATCAAACGGCTAAACAGAAAGGATTAGCAACAAGAAACTCCACAGTGGGACAAACCAACCAAAGGCCAATTGCTCAACAAATATATAGTAGATAGATCGTGCATATGTTGAAGAGACTGCCGAACGACCTTGCGGCAGCATCTCGACTTGAATCCAAGTGGGTCGTGATTGCGAGCGTGACATGGAGGAAATCGTTTGGTGAGGAGACGGCAGATTATGGTCAGTCGTGGACCCAGCTGGAGAGGACAGCAACAAACAAAGCAAAGTGAAGATCTGTTGTTGAAGCCATATATTCCACGCGGAACCCAAAGGAACAATAATAATACTAGTCGCACTACTCCTGGGGCAGAAACTACACTGACTTAAATAGTACATGGTCCGGATATTTCCGCAATAGTTACCTCCTTCAATTGCGTCAACCTTTCCTCACACTGTCGGCAGACCAAGCAGTTTATAGCGAATGACTTCTAACTTTCATCGACAAACAAGTTTTTGATGCGCTTCGTTATAATGTGTAGTGGCTTACTGTCTTTGATGATCGAGTTATTATTGTCTACAGACGCTAAATTGAAATTGGTCTTACCAGTCATGGAATTCATATTTTGACCCCTAAACTAATCATCCGTATATATTTTGAAGAATGATGATATTAATCATTATACTGCTGTTTGTGGACACCAGTTTATAAGTATCATCAATATAGTAAAGTATAACAAAACATAAAATTCGAAGAGACTTCACAGACAGTAATTAGAGCAAATATACCAAGTTCATTGGTATGATGATGACTGAAATTCCACTGAACAACCTTTCCAGGCATAAACAATCGTTTTTTCTGTGAACATAGACAAACTTATTTGTCTGTTTGAGCCAAGATTAAGGTATACGTTACAAATAAACGAGGTGTTGGGCCATTTTATAGATATTGACGTTCTGTGTTAAAAGATCTAGTAATATTGCTTCTGTTGAATTTTAAATCATAAATAATCATATTTTGCTCAACAGAAAGCTAAAATAACTCCGAAAAGCAACCCCAGTAGGCTGTCCTTGAAATACCGACAGAAGCAGAGTGCTGAGTTAATAGTAATCATGCTGAAAAGCAGTGCAGTGTTGTTTTATTTGGAATATCAATTCATTTCAGAATGTACTGACTTTGAAAAATTGCGTTAGTTCATAATTCCTGAAACTTACTTCAGCTTTATTGCAAGCAAATGAGTAATACATCTTGACCAGTTATTCAAACTGTAGCAATTTCGTAAACGCGGTAGCAGTTATTTGTTTAAGACTGTATGGGGTTGCATTGGTCAAGAAAGTTGAAGCATCCCTTAAAGGATCATTAGACTCAATGAATGTAGCTGCTGCATCAGCTATAAAAAAAGGTGTTCACCAATGCGGTGGTTCATTTGGAGGGTTTTAGGATAGCTTGGAAGGTTTTGGTACAACTACCTGTCCATGGGTGGCTAAGTCGTACTTGGCAGATGTTCAGAACCATGTACGGTTTCCCTCAGGTCCTTCAACAAGTCGGTCTCAGTTCACTTTGTATGGTTTGACGCTGTCGTCCTCCTCTCCCTTCATTTACGAGAAAACTTCCAGTAAGATAAGGAACATGGGAAACTGGAGATATGTGGACAATTTAGGACGGGCGAGAGTAGTGCAATACTTGGAAAGAATTCGGAATTTTCTTTCACCATTCCCGTGTTTCCCAGTTCTTCAATGAAATTACCCACTTTTCTTAGAACCACTTGACCAACTGATCTGTGTTTTCAAAAAATAAATTTCCCCAGGTTTTAATTTCTTCCGGAAGTCAATTTTTAGAATCTACTTAGTTTTTAAGCGTTGTTTCACTGTCATTTGTTACGAGCCAATATTTGAATGAAAATCTTTGTATCTACTGCCTTGTGATCAAACTTCAATTTACTCCAGACTGTGAGCAAATACTGTATCTTAGCCCCCCCCCCTCACTCAGTTGCATATTACACAAGAGAAGGGTTATAATCAATTATCGTAAGGAGTAAAGCTGCAAAATATATCTTAGAGAAGCGAAATTTCTAGAGGAAGTGTTTCTTTTTCAAGGCTCTAGGATTTCCAGCCATAGCTTGGTTACAATATATTTCGGTGATATGCTAGTTACAGTTTATTCAAACCACAAACATCGTGCAATCTAGGCACTAAGAAATACGTCACGTAATACATTATAAGAAAAGAATGGTAAAATGATTGAGGAAACGTAGAGTGAAAACAAGTAAGCATACTTATCGGAAGGATTCCAAAGAGCCTTTATTACTTTGCACTACTGTTATAAATAGAAGTGAGGAGGTAACCGAAGCATTTTCACCATCAATTTAAGTCCTGAGCTGTATCAGACATTTTCTGATAACCGAATCATATATTCTCAGTCTTTTTGACTAATCTTAAAGGTCCCTTTTAAAGACAATTGTGAAAATAAGTTTCTATTCATCTTGCAACATTACTTAGCATTTGAACAGTGCAGATTATAAACCTTGCAGACCCTGAGCTCCAACTGATTAAATGCTGTTTGGATAGATTAACACATAGTAAAACGATATCGTCTGTATGCGTGAGGTAGAGAAGTTTTTCTAATGGAACAATAACTTTTAATATGCAGTTTACCCTCATGTGCGTCAGTGGTTCTACAGTAGAGTGCTCGCTAGCCTCACGAGAGGTCATGGCTGGTGCATTTCTAAACCTCACCTAGTTTACTGGTCAATATTGAGTCCATAGAAGCAGGGAGGTTTGGCGAGAGGACTAGCAACCATGCACTATAAAAACAACACTACTATTGAAACTTCAAAGCTTAAGGCCGTACGTTGGACTCGGAACTCAAGGAATGAGAAAAGTTCATCCCCATTACTTCACAAAGCACACTTTGGACGTAACTATTGTAATATACTAATTGGTAGTTACTGGTGCTTAAAGTTTAACTTGGCCAATATCTGAATATTTTTCTCTTCAAAACAGGAGCATTTTCATATGAATGAGACAGTATTCACAAGTTTGGAAGCCGTATGGCAACATTGCCCCGTCACTGCTCTGTCCTTCATTTCCAGAAGTCTTTTGGCCATTGGTTCAGCTAACGTACTAAGCATCTATAGTGTAGATCATGGGTTAGTGCTGTGTAAGTACCTGCTGAAGCGTTTCGTCATTATACACAGAGTGGAGTCAGTACCAGGTGCGTTTACCACCTTTAAAACTTCTTGTAATTGTTATTACTCTAGATGTGAAGCAGGACAACTTTATCTTGTGTCTGTGTGGAAATAGATTTGTCACTGTTCTGGAATTCAAGGCTACATCAGCCACCTTAATGTTAATAACCGAAGATTATTACTGTGATAATATGATATATTGCACAGTTCATTTCAGCCCGCTAGCATTTTATTTACAAACTCTTTCGAGTCATGGTGTACTGAAAGTAATGAAATCATCCTGTGATGACATTGCATGTATTAGTGATTTAAACACCAGTACTTCGCTTCAGCTTGAAACAAGTGTATGGTGGGCAAATGAAATTCACTAATAACCTTGTTTTTTATTAGCTATACAGGTCATATATTTCGGTTCCCGTCGACATCACTATCAACAGGTGGTAAAACTATAGTATTTTGTGGATCTACCTTTGGAAAAATTCATGTGTATCACATTTCAAATGATGATTTATCCCAATGCTCATCGGTTCCCACCCTAACTCTGTGCGCACAAAAGGTAATTCAGATGAATTGATCGTAGATTTTATCTGGTGAACTTTATAAATATTATAGAATTTTATTGTTATCACTCTGAAAAGGGGGTTATATTTTCTGTTGATTTTTGTCATTTAGCCCTTGATAAGTCTTCTATGGCATCGTATCGCTTAGTCTCTTGTGCTGAGGATCGTAGTATTGCTGTCTGGTCAGTATCAGCTAAGTACATTGTGGATTTCAGCGGTTCAGATAAGTGGCAACTGTTGTACCATTTAAAGGCAGGCAGTTTTCTGGATGGCAGCGTAATATTTGAGTCTAGAGTTTGGTGTGTTCGTGTTGGTGATTGGGGAATAATAGCTACTGGGGAGGTAGGTGCCTGTTATTTTGATGCTACTATAAATATACGTTAAAAATATGAACTTTTCTGAATTGAAGATATTAATTGGATTGTGAAACATTTTTTGAATTTGTTCTGTTTGGTGCATTATTATTTTTTAATATAATAACTTAAAAAACTAGTTGGAAAAGGGATCTTTCTCCTTTTTTCTATATTCACTTCGTGAACATTTTATTGGTATGTATTTGGGCAGAACTATTTTTAATTTGATTATAGGAGTTGAATTGTGTACTTGAAATAAGGTGTCCTCCAATAGTGTACTACTTTTTGCATAGATTTAAAAAATTAGGATGTATGAAGGTCTGCTTTTTAGATTTAAACAGACTCTAAATAAGTAAGCTTTTATTGACATTTCGTATCAATGATTAGAGCATCCATGTATCATGGTAACGACTAACTAGATAGAGCAAAAATACCTAGATTGTCCCCATAGTTTATATTCAGGGACCGCGGTTGATATATATATACCCATCTCGATGAACAAATTTCTTAGCTAAAGATCTTATCATTGTTCTGCAAAACTGTAGGATGTTAACCACTTCAATGATTGAGGATGTTATACATTGTCATGCTACACAGGTGCTCATGAAAACGCCTTCAATTTTTATACACAGTGGTGTAATTAACCACTTTAAATGCATAGTTGTGTCAATTTTTAACCGTTTCATAACTTATATAATTTTCACAAGTTACCGTTCAAAAGGTTTACTTAGACTAGTGGTGGTGTTAGTGTCCCGGTGTGTTTCAAGTGTATGTTTAAAAGCAGGCATTTCGTGTGACTATATCTCAGGTAGTCTTGAAAACGTAGTATCTTCAGCACTAGACTATATGGTTTCTTACTGCATTGAAAAATTACGTACTCTTGGTATTTCAAGCCTATTATTTATGAAAGGCAGTGTGCTACATAGTATTGTACCATGCTAGGATTGTTGATGACGGATGTTTTTATAGCTGTTCTGATGTGTAATGGAATCTCATGCTAAGTAATGTTGAAATGTTAAATCAAGTGAAAAACAAGAATACAGGTTAATTGATACGACTATAAACTAGTGTCTGAGCGCGGTCATAGCAAAACACAACACCATTTCTTGGAACTTCTGACTTAGTCTGACTTATGGAGAGAAATGTGGGTGTAATTTTCTAAATGTTGAGAGCTAGTAATTATTAACTTTTGGCTTGAAATCGTTTCTTGTGACCAAGGTGTACTCACACTTAATTATTTTCAAAATTCTTTATCTTTTATCTGTATTCATTTGTTTTTTATCACACATGCTTTCTCACTTTGATCTCTTTATGCTTTTATTTCTTCCATCTTTGTGTGCTCTTTATGCATGCGATCTCTACTCGGTCCTATTGTGGTCTACTCATGTCAAATTGAAATAGGTTTTCCTACTTTCATGGATGTTCAAATGATTACTGTTTTATGCAATCTATCTTTCTTTGCATGATTCAGGAACATATAGTTTTACACAGTATAGGATTTCTGATTGGCATATTTCTAGTGTAATTAGTGTAATGACAAAAAGTCTTTTCGTTATTATGCTCTTTAGGATTGTCGTGTAGTTTATTACCAATGGGATAATATAGCCCAACCTATTGTTATGCGAAATATTCATCGTGGACAAAATGTTTGGTGTTGCAGTGTATGGAGTGCCGAAACTGATGATGAAAGTAAATCGGTTTTGCTAGTAAGTTCTCTGCTAAACTAGTTCAAACATTTAAATAAGTTTGATATTTTTTCAGGTAGTTCAGATCGTAGTAAGATTATTTGAAGTAAAGTTTACTGTTAACTCGTGATGACTACCTTAAATGTAATGCCAAGCTTTCTAGTGTCACAAGTGTTAACGAAAGCTTCTTTCCTGATTTCAGTACAGTGTTCAGTCGATGAACCCTTCTTGTGGCCTGTGTTTAGGTGGTTTGCCTAGCGTTATTCTTAAAAAAGTGTGCAGATATTCTATGTTATCCTCTCATGGACATATTTAATGGACCTATTTCCAGCCGTTTGGAAGAACATTAAAATTGTGCCTATACCTAAGTCATCTACTGGAACATGTTTTAAATTTAGACCTATTGCTATTACCTCTCCCTTTCTAAAAAGTATGGAAAAGTTACTCTTACTTAATCTTCAACCTTCATTTAAAGCCTTTAACAATCGCAAACAATTCGCTTATAACCACAGTAGAAGTGCATTAGATGCAGCTGCAGTCTTGCATCATAACATTGTCTCCAGTTTAGACAAGGGGGCTAAATTTGTTCGCTGCACCTTCCTAGATTACACATCTAGATACACATTGACTCAGTATCTAGGGATATTTTGTTAAACAAGTTTGCTGAAACTCAAACTGACTGCTGGGTTGTCAAATGGCTACATTCTTATTTCTCAGAAAGAAAGCAGTACACTGCATGCCAGGGGAAGTCGTCCACTTCATTGCTTACTGAGGCTAAAGTCCCCCAGGGTGCCGTCTTTCCCCTTTCCTGTTTTTTTGCTTCTTTCATGACTTGCCTCACTCTGATGAAATGAAATGACGATCTAACTACTTCAATTTCTGTTAACTCACAGTTAGACTGTACTAAGATGAACACTTTCTATCAGAAGTCAGCAATTGGTCTTCGTCTAGTGGTCTTAAACTAAATCCTTCCAAATGTCAGACTGTTCATTTTAGTTTCCGATGTAAAAGAAAGTTAAATGAAGCTGTTAATTCCTATTACCGTTGTAGAGTTGATGATAGTGATATAGAAATCAAATCTGACGTTAAGTATCCGGGATTAATTCTTTCTCCTGATCTCTCCTGCTCTTCCCATGTCTTAGCGATTTCTAAAAAAATATTTCGTCTGACTTTTTACATTAAGAAGTTAAGGCACTCAGGCATAACTCAACCTCTCCTCTTACGGTTTGTCGACTCGTGCATCTTAGCTGTTCTTCTTTACTGTTCACCCTTGTTCTTTCCTGGGTTGCTTAAAAGAGACTAAGTCATACTCCGTAGACCTCTGAAGACTGTCAGTAGGGCGAGTTGTATCCCATTGGGCCATATCGTTGACATCGTAATTGAAAGGCATTTAATTTAATGCAACAAATTTGCTAACGGAATTTTGTCAGACTGTGAGTATCCACTTTGCCCACAGCTTTCACCTTGTGTCTCTTCAGGTGAAACAAGAAGTCATTTCAAAAGATTTTATGCACGTACGTCTAAGTATAACAATTTTATGTGATGAAAATAGTGTCAGGGACGAACTAACTAACCTTCTTTGCACTAGTAAAACAAAAACAATTTTTTCTATCCTTATTCCGCTAAGCTTTGTTGTTATTGTTATTCTTATTATCTATAATCCTCTCGATTTTTGTTGTTGTTCATTCTCTCATGGATGTAAACATCATTTAAGCTGTGTAATAACTGTTATTGTTTGTCTTTTCTGTCACCATGCTATATCAACAGAACATTAGACTCTGTAATCTATAACATACTAAAATTTCCAAACTGAATCGACAATACTGTTTGAAACAAACTCACTGTTATTATTACATTTATTATTCTCATTTTGTAATTCGAATATTTTTGACTTTATACCGTAAATGTGGACAAATTCCTGTGGTTAATTTTATTTATATTTTGAGTAAATCAGATGCAATATTGTGACAAATGCTGAGAATTCCATTCTGTATTATAGGTACTATTTTTGGAATAAAGTACATTATTATTATTTAAACCTGACCTTACAATTATTAGTAAATTTTCGACAATGATTTTTAGAAAGCGTACGTTTCATTATAGTTCTAGTGTTATAACTTCAACTGTGCTCATATATTAGTTGTGTTTTTTAAGCATTACAAATATCATAAGGCTTCAGGCAGTGTACTAGGCAACTCAGTCATTGAGGTTGCCAATTCTCACTGACAGAAACAAATGAAGTGTATGTTATGTATGTCTCTCCGCCGCGTACTCGAATATTACCAGGGACAGATTAAAATGGGCTTCAGAGTAGTCACATGAGGCCTTGACACCGATTTATGAAGTTAGTTATAGTCAATATAACCCGAAGACTGACTTTTTTTCAGGATGAGACGACCGAAACTTGGTATCATCCAATGAATTTTTTGACAATTGGTTTGAGCCGGCCACGTAGGGAGGTGTAGACTGTTTCCTCGAGATACTAAGAAGCAATGGCGTGAGACTGTCAGTGATGTGACTCAAAACGTTTTCAATGATGCAGATTCATTCCCTTTTTGTGATGTCACATACTCACTAGACCGTCATGTTTTCCTATGTTACTATTCTTTTCCGCTCACATATCTGTTCATTATAGTTCCTTTAAATATCTTTTCGCTACACGAACTGTGGCAACTTGAACTGGTGCATTTCTGTGTGCAAAGTTCCTTGTTGAAACTCAACTCACTCAGTCAGAATAAGATGGTAGTCTATTACTCGAGTGTAAATTAGGTAAACGTATCTAGATTTCATCTTCAAATGTGGAGAATTGTACTAATCCATTTTCATAACTTTTTGTGTACTTGTTTTTTACTACTGTAGAGGTTGCTTCAGTACACTCACCTTCCAAGTGGTTGATATGTTTTGTGTTATAAATCTCCTTCTTGTGTTTTGATTCTTTTCTGTATGTTTTTTTATTTTCAGGCTACTGGTGCAAATGATGGCGGAGTGTGTGTACGTGAACTGACCAATCATTTTCACCATCCTAATAATAATATCAATGAATGTGTAATTCTACCGTGTTATGAGTCTACATCGGATAAAAATACAGAACTCACAGTGAATTCATTCAATACAGAGTCATCGTGTCCCTCAGTTTCTCAAAAGGTGATTATTCGCGTTCAGGTTGTTTATCTTCTTTAGTAAATATTTTAGTTCTTGTATACATTCAGTCGTTGTGCAATAATTATTAGTTGCCGAGAGTTAGTTTTTAGGGATCTGATTTGTTTCAATGTCAATCACGGATTGATATCGGCTAGGGGAATCATGAACAGTAATGAACAGCTGTTTCTGCCCCCTTTGGGACTCTTCAGTAGTACGCATCCACGACCTCACTGGGGATTGAACCCAGGACCTTCCGGTAACAAGGCGAGCTCGTAGACTATCCAGCCATTAGGCTGGAATTCAATGACAGTTGTTAGTTGACTGTGTTTTGTGATTTTGATACGTATGGTTTTCTTTTAATTACTTTAATTTTTACTTTAAAATGGATTTACCCACTTACTGTATTTTAATAGTCCGATCGTTTGACTTGAAATCACTAGTTAAGTAGTCTGCAATCTTCATTTGAGACGGCTACAAGATGATACATTTAGTCACAATACAAAAATAGCAGATAATGTCAGACTATGTCACAGCCAGCTAGGATCAGACTGGGAAAGCAAGACGGGCGTTCAACACTCTGTGATCAGTGTGGAGATCTAAAGCATGTAGCACAAGGAACAAGATCCTAATTTTTAAGTCAGTGCTTATATGTGATTCGGAGACTTGGCCCGTTAGTCACGATAAGCATTTCCAACAGGCTACCATAGACTTTCATCAATAACTAACACCAACCAACAATCTGTTGTCCAGTAAATACGCAGAAGAAAATAGAGTGTGACTGGACATACACTAAGGGGACCATTACATCCCAGATAGCGGAGTGGAACGCGAATGGGATGCGACCAGTTGGGTGTCTGAGAATGGCATGGAGGGATAATTTGAAGTGAAAATGGAAGCTTTTGGGCAGTCGTGGGGACAGCTGATAGGGATTACTGAAAACAGAGTGGAATTGGGATGTGCATTCATGAAGCCATATATTCCATTCGGTATGCAAGGAATGAACAGTAACAATATTATTCTTAGTGGGCCTGTGGCTCATTGATGTAGGTGTGAGATCTCCGAACACTGAGTGACAGGTTCAAATCCCACCCCATCTACCGAGTTTTGGGCAGACAGGTAGTATGAGTTTTCTCTGCACAAGAGATGTGTGGTTCATTGCCATCTTCATGCAACTGCAAGTCGTTAATGAGTAACATTCACATTTTTTAGCCACCCTTATTATTGATAGTGAATAAAGGATGGTTTGAGAGTGGATTACAAGATGTACATAATTGTTTTGAAATGATACATAGATACATATGGATGATAATAACAATAATAATAATAATACAATAATAATAATGACTAAACTGACTAGTATCATTATTCTTTTTAGAAAGAAATGTGTACACCACTCACTGTAAAAAGTGTTGCCGTCCTTTTCTTTTCTTATCTTATCCATTCTTTAAAAAATGATTTCCAAATTATTCACTACCTTGTAGTTATGCTTTTTTATCTTCGGAATAATCCATTTAACCTTCATACAATTATTATGGTGTCACCAACCATAGATGTCTGCGTTCTGTTTTCTGGATGAAGTGGTGTAATATGGTGAGTAATACTGAAGTTAGGCTTAAGGTTCTGCGTAAGGAAGACAAGAAAATCGATGAGATTGTAAGGCTACATTGATTGAGATGGCCAAGGCACTTACTACACATGCCTTCTTCGCCGAACAATGTTAACTGATATAAGATTAGGTTGGAAATCTAAACCTGGCATCAGTCGATTCAGTCTTTGACTGTTGGTTTGAAGTAACCATGTAGGAAGGTGTGGGCAGCTTGGCTTGGGGTCCTCGGGGTGATAAGGACCAGACACTAGAGACTATTGATGATATGGCTCAAGGTCGTTTCCAGTGACGCAGACGCATTCACTGTTTGTGATTTCCCATATTCAGAGCTTAAAGATTTTGTATAATATCATAAGAAAACGTATAAACTGACTACATAGAATAATTGTATGCTTTATTTTTCTTTTGTGATTTTAGACTACTGATAATTCTAAGTTGAAAGATTTTGCCCGTGTCCTCTTTTTCGGTTTAAATGGTCGCCTGTTCTATATAACAGATTTTGGGTAAGTTGTAAATAAATTTCTTTCTTGTACTCTAAACAGCTTTCGTATTTATCTCCTTATAAAATGAATGATAGTAGTTGTCTCCTCTCCTTAGCACAAAGTTAACGTATTGAGAAAATATTCTAGCACTATTCAAGCGTTAGATCCGCAGGGATTTGAGTGATTTCAATTTTGATACCGGATTGACTTCAGCAAGAAAATCAATCAAAAAACCAAGGGGTACAAAATAGCCGTGGCCTCCTTGTTCGGGACTCTCCAGCAGTACGCACTCATAACCTTAAGTCACTGTGAAAAGATCCGATGGTCTATCAATTCTAACTTCTGCCGTTTCGCGAGCTACCGCTAGTCAGTGTCATCCGTGGGTATCTGTCCTCACGCCCAGCTTGATGGACCCTGCTGATCATGACTTCCAGCCAGAAATTCATGCAACCCTCACCCTGTGGTTAGTCACTAGGTTCAGTCAGCGGCCTAGTCATGGGTGTGTGCTGATCAAGATTCCCAGGCAATGCAGAAACAACTGTCCAGTACTCATTGGTATTCAATGGTTATCTAATTGAAATCAGTTCATCATCGATTTTGAAATCGATCAAATCCTCGCACACCAATACTTGAGAAATAAATCATTGGTTTAAGCGCCCTCTATCAGTCACTTTGCCCTGAGTCTCTCTTCCTACTTCGAACCGAACAACTTGGTAGCACTTACACCATGTGTTTGATTCAATAACCTGAAAAGTTAGTTCCAAACAAGTGAGTTAACAGGAAAGGACCACTAGCTGTTAAGAACACTTGAAAGTGAAAAAGAGGTGATCTGCGTCATAATATGGTTACTCTTTAAGAACTACTTAAAGCTACTGTTTGGTACATAATTAATTTATTCATACGCATCTATATTCCTTGTCTTCCTAATTTTTCTCTCTGATATTATCGCCTGTTGTAATACGATAGATTAATGTAGACTGGCTTTCGTATTTTCGTTATATAGGCATATATATACATACTGCCATACTAGCGATCCAATAATCCATCAAGTACATCCCAGGATACTTAGATCTTTCGAGGAAGCTGTTGCACTATTGCAGCCATCGGGATGTCTACCAAAACGTACAGGCTCAAAGCAATGCGAAGTATTCTTCAAAGGTTATGTGACTTGTAGTACGAGTTTCGACCGGTCTTTTGTGGTAGTAGGAAACATTTCTGGTTGTCTTATACTTATCAAGATTCTGCAAGGTTGGTTTTTACTTTTAATTTTGGTATTAATCATTGGTAGTGTACTGTAAACTAGAGTTCCTTCTGTCTTTATTAAATTTTTAGGCTATTTCTATATGATTAATGAGGTCACTTTTTGGGGAGGAAGTGTCTAACTGGCTTAAGCCACTGTGTCCCAAATTCCAGTCCCTTTTCATCTACTTCCCACATAATGTGTGGCTTGCAGCATGGTAACTTAGTTCAAACTAAGTGACTAATATGGTTTATTTATTTTTATAAGCTGTGTAGGCTAGGTTGACTTAATTCAAGTATTGACAAGTCATTTAAACTTTTTGACTGTGTTATCTATTCAAATCAAGTCAAAGCGTATCTTTCTAAGTGTTGTTGAGTGTATTTATATCTTCTCAGTCGTTACTTAAACGATGATATCAGTCTGGTCGTTGTAATCTGTTGAAAATTTCTCAGCAGATTAATGTCTTGTTTAAAACACCTGCTTCATGCTGGTTATTCTAAGCTATTGATCATGTCCATAAGTCTAATAATATTTTCAGCATACGAATTTCGTATGCATTCTCAGAAGATAAGACTCTTTTTTGTCAACATTCGATTGCCTTACTATCTTTATGTGTTTAATTTCTTCAGTAATTTGGAGTTCAAGGGTAGGTTTGTTTTTCTATTTGCCAGACAGTGGGTATTTAATTTTTTCGAATAATAATTTTCTGTTTTTAATTTAGACCCACCTTTTATGGAGCTATTGGATATTATAACTGTCAATGATAAAGTAATGAAAATTGTGTGGATTAGTTCGTCACATATAGCAACTGGACTTCCGAATGGCGATTCTGTGAGTTCAAATGTTTGTCTGAACTGCAGTAACTTTGAAGTTAGAAATCTCGAATTTTTAGAGTTTAGATGCTTATTACCTATAATACAGTGAGAGATGTGAGGCGGTTTTTAAATCAAATAAACAGTACAGGTTTGTCTGAAGTCTGGAATCACAATTAAGCTTAAAAAGTCCGCAATCTTGCCGGTAGAGTGAAAAGCATTTGTTAAATAAAATAGTCTATGAAACAGATTAAAGACAGTGTATTGCCGTCGCTAAATAAGAAGCAAAGTAGTGAAATTGAATTGTATTCATCTGGTGAATCTGATGTCTGAAAATAATCATGATTGCAAAAACAACTAAATGCCTCTTGCACACCTTGGCGTATTCAACATTCATTTCTGTGTACTTTAATTAGCTTCAGCAAAATGCTCTGGCGCCGTGTTTAATTTTTGTGTCTTTTCATTTCTTGTGTTCCAAGTGGAACCATAGGACTACAAACTATGAAGTGTCAGTAGTGGTGGTATTCTCTCTTAAGTGGTGGGGTTGCTAGCCTCACACCTAACCTAATCTCTTTCTGGGGCTCACTGCTGGTCAGTGAACTAGACGAGGTTGGGGAGTTCGTCAACCGGGAATCAAACGCGGACTATATCTGTGGCTGGTGCTGATTCTACCATGGAACCACTGGTGCATCGTCCCCTCTTTGATGCACCTGTTTATTTCTTTGAATTATCTGATTGACCTGAGATTATTCAGGTTTAGAAATAGCATATTACACAGACTACTAATTGGATTTGACTTTGATAACAGTAGCATTCTGAGGATTCTTTAATGAATTGTTATAAAACAAATGGTTTCGTTTTAT